AAAAAAAAAAAAAAAAAAGATTTAATCCTATGTCCTTGAAGAGCTGAGCCAGGGAGTGGCGGTGGCAGGATGCAGGGTGATGGCTAGAGACACAGCCAGATAGAGTCGAGTCTTAATCTTTATAGGACTGGTCCTTACTGTATCATTTTGGGCACATGACGCATTGGTGAGCCTCGATCCCTTCATTCCTGTGATGCCTTGGGGGGCCTCAATCCCTTCATCCCTGTGCCAGCCTGTGCAATGGTGGGGCACTGTTCTTAGCAGAAATATACTTTCTTTCAATCATCATTCAAACCTGGGCGGTGAGCACTATGATCCCCTCATTTCCACACAGCTATCCACCTGCAAGTTTACTCTCTACCTCCCCTCCTATTAAAATACCCCAGGACAGCACTGGACTGTTTTCGTTGCCTTCTCAGTACCCAATCCTCACTTTCCTGCCAATGCTACTTCTGATTCTCCTTTGGGAAAATTCAGCTTTTTTTTTTTAGACGGAATCTCACTCCATCACCTAGCCCGGAGTGCGGTGGCGCAATCTCAGCTCACTACATCACCTGCCACCCAGGTTCAAGCAATTATCCTGTCTCAGCCTCCCAAGTAGCTGGTATTACAGGTGCCCACTACCATTTCCAGCTAATTTTTGTATTTTTAGTATAGACAGCATTTCACCATGTTGGCCAGGGTGGTCCTGAACTCTTACCTCAGGTGATCCACCTGCCTCAGCCTCCCAAAGTGCTGGGATTACAGGCGTGAGCCACTGCACTGGGCCAAATTCACCCTTTTTATTCTCAGCCCTGGCTTCAGCCCATCCCATTCCATCTCCCTGGTCATTAAGTTTAGTTCATCACAGAACCTGGACACAGCTGTGTTAGCCCAGGCACCCAGGGGCAGGCTTTTTACAAAGCAAACTGGATTCTATGTGTTAGACACAAGCAGGATGCCACTCCCCTGGAATGAAAATGCTGAGACTGTTAGAGAATTCAGGGCAAAAAAGAAGTCCCCCCAGGAAGAAGGATGTGCACCTTCATTAGCCATTCAGAGAGGAAAAGAATGAGTTAGCGGGGTCAAGAACCAGCTGCCATTGTTCAGGGCACCCCCAGAGTTCAATGGCAGTTCTGAAAGGAGGCTAGGATATGGGCTTACTCTGGGTAGAAGACTTCCTACTCCCTCAAGACTAAAGAGGCCTCTTCCTGGATTTCCTTAGGAAGGTGCTTCGGAGCTTAGGAAGGTGGTGTGGAGACAAATCAAGAGTGCTGCTAAGAGCTGCTCTCCTGCCCTGCAGGCTCCCACGTGCTACGGCTGCTGGAGATTCAGTTCCTGGGCTCAAGCCCCGCCCCCAGGGCCTTGCCCTTCATTCTGGATTTTCAATGATATGCATCAGGGAGGTTTTTACAGAAGCAGGCTCCAAGAGGTATCCATATCTGCCTCTCAGGGTCCAAGGGGCCCAGGCCAGTTAGAGAAGCACCATGCTTTCCATGGAAAAATGCTACAAATAGGGGAGAAAGGAGAGAAGGGTTTCAGAGTTGGAAAGACCCTTCGACATCAGCTAGCACCAAGTTCCATTATGTAAAGAAACTGAAGGACTTCAGACAGGAGGTGAAGGCAGGCAGGTGCTAGAAGTCTTCGTAGGAGGATTTTTTTTTTTGTGGACATAAACATGAAGTGGAGCAAGTGGGAACGCCATCCGTCTCCTGCCCAGACCTCCCCACTGCCAGTGTCCAGCCTGAAGCCGCCCTGGTGAAGCAGGTGAAGGAGCCGAATTGCCAGCAGCTCCATGCCTGGCTCCTGGCCTCCCCCACTCAGCTCCAGGGCACTCACGTGCTTGAAACAGCTGACAGGAGCAGCCTTGTAACTGTGATCCTTCAGGAACTTCCCCCAGTCGAAGCCCAGGACCAGCGCTGCAGAACAGAAAAAGAGGATGAGACGAGACTGGGAGCCTGAGCAGCAGTCACGCCAGGAGCCTGGACCTCGAGGGCCTTGTGGGACCTGCAGAGGTAGGTCCCCCACTCCTAGCAGCCCCTCTCACAGCAATGACCACAACACCGTCCTGCACTCCCTTACCTGCTCCACCAGTCGCCATGGAGACCACAGCTGAGGACTGCATTGAAAGGTGGCAAGACTCTCAGGAGTAAAGGAACATTCAGAGGGAAATTTATCACCCTTCTTCCCTCAAAGAGGAAAATTCAAATATCCCTGGGCTTAAATTCCTCACACTCCCTCAACCTCTGATTGGCCTCACCCAATCTAAAGGAGGGGGAGGGTGTGCACACACCAGGGCCCCTCCAACTGAGCTGCTGGCCTGCTGAGCTCAATTTCACTTAGAAATGCAAACCAATGATATGCATACATTTAACTTGCTTAGCAATCGCTACACTCAGAAAAAAAAAGAGAAAGGCTCCATTCCTTATCCCACCATCCCTCTCCACACCGGCCTTCAAACCAGATCTGGGCCTCCACTGCCCCAGGGAAACAGAAACCACAGGGATAAAAGCAAAGGAAAACAAAAGCAGCTAATTCTTGGCTTCTGAATTATCATGGGGAGGGATCCCGGCAATTTAAGGAGGGTTGAAGGGATATTTCTGGGTAATTTCCACAATACCTAACAGCCGAGGAAGGTGCAATCCTGCTGAGTCTAGCTAGGGCACTTTCTACCTGGCGGGTTTCCCCAGTCTTCACTCCGAGGAAAGGCCACCCCAGGCTCGGCCCCCTCTTCAGCCATGGCAGCGTCCTAAGCACAGCCCTCGACTGTCTTACCGTCTTGTCCTGTTGGTGTCCCATCTGCCAGCTGTCCTGTCCCTTGGGAGTGGAGGAAGGCTCCAATTTTGGCAGACCAAGCGGCTTTGTGCAGGACTTTGGCTTTCTTGGTCGGTGGTTTTCCCTGGAGGGAAGGGGAGAGGCTATGTGTGGCCCAGCGGCTGGGACCATGGCTCCAGATTTGGACTGCCAGGTTGACGTCCCGGGCTTCGGTCAGTGACTTAACCTCTTTTGATTAGCTGGGCATGTGTGGCACCTGCCTGTAATCCCAGCTACTCGGGAGGCTGAGGCAGGAGAATCGCTTGAATCCAGGAGGCGGAGGTTGCAGTGAGCCAAGGCCACTGCACGCCAGCCTGGGTGACACAGCAAGACT